ATATATATTTTATTTTATTTTATAACCGTCGTTGAACAGCCGAACTAATATTTGGGTTAATGACTACTAATGTAATTTTGTAATTTTGAACCTATTGTAGAAGACAAGGGAACTCCTTTATCAAGTATTGGGGGAAATATTTGCCTTCGTGGAGGACTTTCTGATAGAACTAACCCGTATTTGCGTTACATGGCAAGGAAAATCGCAGAAACTTCCCATGGTTAGCCTGATGGCAAGGAGACTCTAACCCATGATCCGTTTACCACTTGAGGATATTTTTTACGTCAGCACTGTAGTCGGTGCAAGCCGGATGCGGATTTGTATCGACCAGCCGCCGCTGGGATTCGAACCCAGTTCACCTCATTGGAAGGCGAACGCTCAATCCAATGAGCCATCGCGGCTCTCAATGTATATATAGGTCATAAAATATAATTATGTTAGTTTGGGTGTGAAGTTGCCTAAAAGAAGCTCTTAACACCTTTTCGACAGTGATTAATACGCACGATACACCCTACACGGCCCAGAGTATCAGTTTGACTGTATTATCTTTCTTATGAAAAGAGTCTTTCTGACTCTAGCAGCCCAAGATCACACCGACGTGATCTAAATTCGATACCCTCGTCTTACATCTCGTGTTAGTACGCACATGTACTCTTTAGTTCGTATAAAGTCGGACTGAGAAGATAGCTCTTTATAAACTGTAACCAGTCATACACCGCTCGAACGCTTCCGGTCTGGTCTACGGGTAGAAAAAATCTCCGGTCGGGACACTTGTGCACTAAATTATGTGACCGGACAACCTCCGTTCGCAACGCTGTATCGTTTAATGCAATTATTTCGTTACTGTTGCCACTGGAAAGAAACAAATTCAGCCCTTTTTCCAAGGTCGCGTTAGTCTTTATACTTATACCGAAGAACCATTACATTATGGCCACCCTCCATCTATAACAATGGGCTCGCCCAGGTTTTCATGGTTTCTCGCCCAGAAACAATGTTTTCATTGGGCACATTAGAACCCATAATCCTCATAGAACAATCCCTGACGTCTGTAATCTACTTGAACATAGTTGCAGACCAGGTTCACCCATTCATGGCAACAGTTTTTCCTGCAGGGGATGATGTTTACCAACAGGATAATGCACCCTGTCATAAGGGTCGAATCGTCATGGATTGGTTCGAGGAACATTCCAGTGACTTTCAAGTCATATCTTGGCCCCCAAATTCACATGGCCTTAATCCAATAGAGCATTTGTGGTCCTACTTGGAAAACCAAATTCGTGCTGCCCCTCGCAATGTGAGGGAATTGCAGGACCAGTTGGTGAGCGCTTGGTACCAGATACCTCAGACTACCTATCAGCACCTTGTGGAATCAATGCCACGGCGGGTGCTAGAAGTTTTGAGGGCTGAAGGTGGTCTTACAGGTTATTAGCAGGGTGGTCATAATGTAATGGCTCTTCGGTGTATATTTCATTCAATATATTTCTTAAAATGTGTATTTTTCTTTTCATTAAACTTAAACAAATTTTAATTACAATCTTGAAAGAAAAAAAAATTAGCTGCTGTAGACAAAAATGAACAAATCTACTAAAACAAACCAAACCAACTGAAAGCAACAGAAAAAATATAAAAAAATTTCAACACTGGGTAATTGAATAGACAGAAACATCAAAAGACATGAAGAGAAAAACTAAATTCGACTACTTCAACTTAGGCATGATAATAAATAGATATGAAGCAATATTTCAAATGATTTTCCCTCTTAAAAGATTTATTCGTAAGATTTTTTTCAGAATAATAAGGCAATTATTTTAACCATAATTTCATTTTCTTTATTAGTAACTGAGTCTTTATTTAGAAAAATTCTACAGTTCGTGAGCATTTTTCTCTTTCAGGATTATACTCTTTTTAATATTACTCTAATTATGTGATATCTTTTGCTTTATTCGCTGCATTTAAATTCCCATTCACGACTTAGTACATTCAAAAATGTTATTGATTGTAATTACCAAGAAATAATCATGAAATTTATTCTATCAAGTTAGCAAATGCGCAAAGTAATGCCTTTACCTCAATTATTTCTAAAAAATGAGGAAAAAACGAAACTTTTGTAGTTAATACCGAATTTAATTAGCGTGATTTAATTAAATCCGACACGTTATACGAATATTTATTAGGTTTCCATTCATTATTATTTTTTTTTAATTTTAAGTTAATATAAAACGAAGCCTGTTTTTTAAATCTCTAGTGATGTTATCTTTTCATTGAAAAGTAAATGTGTTAAAATGTATGGTATTAAAATGGTGAGTTTTATTACATACAAGAAAAAAGTAATTTCGATATATTTTTTAAATTAAGAGAAATCAGACCACAAGTTAATTCATATTGAAGTTTTCTATACATTTGATTATGCATAAAATGAGTTTCATAAATATGTTTTCAGTAATTTTCAATTAGTAGATATCTTATTTAGAATCTTTACTCTGTTTGCCGCATAAAGTATTCAACCTCATATTTATGATCTTTGGCTTAGGATCTAGCGTCCTTTAATTCTTTAAATTTTGTCCTTTTAAAATCCACCTTCATTTGTGCCTGTTAAGTTATTCTTGTTCTTCCTTTTTTTCTCTCGCAATCTGGGGCCCAAGAAAGCGAAACAAGAGTACATTTTTTTCTGGGCATTCTCAATATATTTACCGTCGATATCCGCCTTCTCTTATTCAGTATTCAGCTCATATTCTTATGTAGTTAAAGTTGCTTTTTCTAATACTGTGTCGTTTCCAATTTTAACAGGTTAAAAAATTTAAAAATTTATCTGAGACAGTTGTTTTAAAAAACCGCAAATTTGATCAAACCGATTGTCTGATTTTCCAATGCTCCATGTCCAAATTGCTCTGACTATTAAAATAGACGTCTCCGTATATCAAAATTAATTTTATGAAATTCTGAAATTGATCTTGAAAGTTCTTACATCCTTTGATATTAAGAATATTACCACACATACAATGTGAGGAAAAAAAGCATAGAAGTCTTAAAATATTTCTTGAAATGAATTGTGGGTCTGGAAACAAAATAGAAAAAAAAGATATACGTCCAATCAATTCGAGTGGTTCAATCGAACTCTGATCTAGACTTAGAGAGTTGAGAGAAATGAAATCGGTGAATCTGTCCTCCAACTTTGAAACTTCATCCCCGAACGTGTGGAACTTGTGATACTTCGAGAAAAAGAATATGATTTAGTGTTAAAATTTAAGAAAGTTATGATTGATTTAAAGTTTTAAACTGTGGGTGCTACATCTGTCTTCCGAGGAAAAAAAGAAGGCAAGGGATTTCGGTAAAAATTAATATGTTGATCGAATCCCACCGATGGCTGGTTGCACCAATCACAGTGCTAACGTAAAAATGTTCTCCGTGGTAGACGGATTATGGGTCAGAATTCTTTTGTCGTCGGGTGAACTGTGAAAGATTTTCGTAGTTTTCCACTCCAAATACGAATAAGTTCCATCAAAAAAGTTCTCCACGAAGGCTAGTTTGTCCCTAATGCTTGATCAAGTAGTTTCCTTGTTCTCTGGATTGAGTTCAAAATTAGAAGACTGCGGAGTCGAATATTGGTAGTCGTAAACTCAAACTCGGCTGTTCAACGACGGTATTAAAATAAAATAAGCAATGCTTTTGTGATATAATAACAGAGGAATTTTCTCCTGCATGCGAAACTAACTTTTAAGATAAGTGAAAACTAGAGGTTTCTAGATATTTTTATCACTGATTGATAATGTGTATTAAATCGAACAACTCGCCGACCGGTCTGTGTAGTGGGCAAGGAACTGTCCTTGCATCAGATAGGTCCTGGATTCGAATCCCGGGCAAGGCATGGATGTTTCTTTCCTCTCTGTATGTCCTTTCTCCTTTGTGTGTGAATGTGACCCGCCCTATAAACGGGTTGTGGTTGTGTGAATGGCGTGACAGAAGTCGAATTTCTGGTAATAGATGGCGCCACTGAAAAACAGGAACAATCGCACCCCCACTGCCTAAACAGGCATACGACAAAAAAAATATCGAACAACTCCAATCCAAACTTTTATCTAAATCTGCAGAGTGAAGATTTGTATTCAAGGTATACGAGGGGCACATAATTTTTACACTTTAATTAATCATTATTTTCTTAACATTTTCTTAAGACAAAAATATGCTTTTTAAATATCTTGAAAATACTATTTTTAACTACGTGTTCTGAGACAAGTTTTTTTTTTTTTTTAATTTCAAAGTTGGGTGTCTCCATTTCCCCTTCTTTCTTGCAAGTTTTAAACCTAATTTTTCTTAATCAGTTAATATTCCGCATGACCATTCAATATGGACACTTATTTTTACTTAATTGGACATGCTTCATTCTTTCCTTTAAGCTTTATACAGGTTGTTTAATCCTTTCTGGCCACTTAGAATTTCGAACTTCAAGATGTTAAAATCTAAAATTATGGTAATTCTTTTAGATGGGTTATGGTAATTTTTTTAAAATTAACGACTATTTTAATTCAGATACAATAAATTAATGTGTAATTAATAAAAAAATTTCCGTTAGAAGAAACTATTTATATAATACCTCTTTTTATTTCTCCTACCTAATTTTAAAATTAAAAAATAAACTCTACTTTAATAGCACTAAGGAGTTAAAACGTTTTGTTAAGTAAAGCATTCTCCTAACTGCCCATGCAGGCTGTTACGTATATCGCTCATGGGCTGCAATAGCGGCACAATTCAAAAAAATCAAGTTTTGAGATAAGTGGGTTTAAAGTCTTCATTGCTAAGCAAAATGCATAAGAAATGCTTTAGTTTGCTTAAACGAAGATTACCTTCAAGTTGAATTATGAGTTGTGCTAGTTTTGCTGCTGAAAGAATGTGTATTTTCATATTTACACCAGTTCTTAGTCCAAAACGCGTGTTTTTTTAGTTGTGCACACTATTGCAGCCCATGAGCGATATATTAAAGATTATTATTCTTTTTATTGCAGGAAGACGGCACTGCACAATCAACGTCTGTGTGCGAGTCATCCGAACGTCTCCACGAGTGATTTGGCAGCAGTGGCGGCGGACGGAACGCGCGACGATTCCGACGTCTACGGAAGAGGTATACGTCTTCACAATGGGGTCATGATGGCGGACGGTGTTAGCTACAGTGACCCTACCATCCATCGAAATTCTTCGGCCTCCTCGTCCCCAGCCCGTGCCCTTCGAAGTAGACCTGACCTAGATGACGATTACAACATGAGGGACAGTGGCATTATGGATATTGGTGCTCCTGGAATCGTGGTAGGTCTTTCATTTTTATAAACTATTAAGCTCAGCACTTTTTTTAATTTATGTGCCACTATCTAGAGTAGGGCTTAGCCAAGAAAGAACGCATTATAACCACAAGTAGGTAGTTCTAGAAACTAGTTCTAGTTCGTTTCGGTTTTCGAAGGACTGATTCAATAACTCTAGAACATTGATCGACTTTTGTACTTTCATAGTTCACTACAACTTCTTTGTTACAAATGTTGTTAACTATAACTACAGATATTTTTTTAAATGTAGTGAGTACAAACTACTTTCGAAACGTAAACTACTTTAAGCAGACGATATTTACTGGAGAACTTAATTTACACCTTTGTTCAAAATTGGCGATCGCAACGCTCGAATTCGCCATCTGGGGTGAGACCGGTTTCATGACTTTGGCCCTTCTCCCTTCCCTCTCCTCCTCTTTTCAGTTGTATAGGAATGTACTACGATATTTTCCCTTTTCTTAATATTTTTGCTTTTTATTTAATAAAAATATTTTTTTTAAATTTCCATGATGTTTTTCTTTAGAACTGTGTTTAATGTAGTTTTCAGTCCCATATAGTTTTCTAACTTAAAAGATTTTAATTTATATGAAAAAAAAGAACGTACTTCCTTCCTCTACGACTCTCCACACGCTAATGGGGAAAGCATGTAAAGTGTTGCCATAGGTAGAAAGTTCTGCTCTACACCACCTGCAGCCTATTTCGATCGCCAATGGTTTTGAATGAAAAATCGGCTTTTATTAAGCATGAGGAATTATTAAGAAATATTAATTCGTGCTTATAAGTGCCAGTTTGTCATTCTAAAACTTTTTTTTTCAAATATGTTTTTTTTTTCTAATTTTCATCTTTTTACGACCACAAATTTATCTCTTTCATCTTTTTACGGTCACAAATTTATCACTATGTGACCAAAGTGATAAATTTGCTATTATTCGTAATGACTAGTTTAAATATTAGTTATAAAAGACTCTAATTCTTGTTAAGACATGGTCGCGTTTCAGGGGCATTTTAATTGTGTCCATTAACAAATTTGCGTACCCATCTGATTCGAAAAATTAGATGCGTTAGAGCCTTATTTATTTACTAAACTAAGGTTAAAAGTAGTTGCCGGGAATCGCTACAAACTACACTGGTTATCATAAATTAAGGAAAAATCACAAAAATAGCGATAACTCTTTCAAAAGTAAGCCAAACCGTGCAAAATTTGCATATGTTGTCCACTAAGAGTAGCTGAGTAAAATTGCAATATGCAAATTAGTGGCGCTGCACTCGGCTTACGTCATCTGCCTGGAGCATAAAAGTCCAAGTTTGAGAGAAAGCACACNCCTTCCTCTACGACTCTCCGCACGCTAATGGGGAAAGCATGTAAAGTGTTGCCATAGGTAGAGAGTTCTGCTCTACACCACCTGCAGCCCGTTTCGATCGCCAATGGTTTTGAATGAAAAATCGGCTTATATTAAACATGAGGAATTATTAAGAAATATTAATTCGCGTTTATAAGTGCCAGTTTGTCATTCTAAAACTTTTCTTTCAAATATGTTTTTTTCAAAGATCTGGTTTCTTAGGACAAGCGCCTTATCTGGGCGTCAGCGCTAAGTTGACGTTACCCTGACGCCAACAAAATACTGGTTTGTTAGTTCAAGGCCTGAATTCTTAGGAGAACCGTCTCAACTGGGCGTCAGCGTTAAGTTGATATAACTTTGACGACATAAAAATACCTTTTTGTTAGCTCAGCGTGAGCAGTCGGTCTAAACCAGACATTATCTTGCTTTGCGCATGCGTTAATAACGTAAACAAATATTTATTTTGAATTTGTATTGATTTTGTGATTGTCGACCAGTGCTTTAAAGAACAAATAATCACTTTGTCCAAGAAAAAAACACATTATAGCTTAGCTAAATGAAGAAGAAGAGGAAAAAGAAGCTACGTTTAATGTTAAAATTAAAATCTTGTCTGATTTCAATGCTCTGTTGTTGGAAGTTGTCCGCCATTGCTTCTGTTGTTAACGTCACGTTGTAATCCAACTGCAGTTGATTGGGACGGCAGTTGTCGATCAAGCTGAGCGTTCGATGACGTATGCTGTCAAACTCATAAATTAACCAATCAGAGGTAAACGTTCGTTTCAAGCTGACGCCGACGTTTCCTTTAAGAAACCAGGCCTTAATCTTCATCTTTTTACGGTCACAAATTTATCCCCATGTGACCAAAGTGATAAATTTGCTATTGTTCGTAATGGCTAGTTTAAATATTAGTTATAAAAGACTCTAATTCTTGTTAAGACATAGTCGCGCCACAGGGGCATTTTCATTGTGTCCATTAACAAATTTGCGAAGATTAGTACCCATCTGATTCGAAAAATTAGATGCGTTAGAGGCTTATTTCTTTACTAAACTAACGTTAAAAGTATGCCGGGAATCGCTACAAATTACTATTTTTCTGTATCACACTATCTACTACTTTACTTATTAAAATAAATAGCACATCAAACTACAAAAAAAAGTAGCAACTACAGTAATTTCACTACCTGTAGTACACTAATGGTCTAAAAACTGTTGTATGAATTACATATCCACTTAATAAGTTACGAAACAACAAACACCAGACGTAATGCCCTGCCGTTCTTGGCTGTGAATGATAAAGAAACAATGTAAGTTCTCTACAGAAATACTCTTCAATTCCAATGTCAAGATTTCTTTAATGTTTTCCAACTTTCACAAACCTAGTCCCTTCAGCAAGTTTTCCAGACCCGGTCTTAAGAAAAAGTTTACATGTTCTAAATTCAGAGATTAGGCTGTATGATTTATCTCCACAATCACTGAAACTAAAAAATTTTGCTAAAGGAATAAACATGAATGGAGAATGATAACTTCAACGACAGAATAGAAGAGCATTCTGAAAGAAGACTTGGGACTTTGTTTTACCAAAAATGATGAGAAAATTATTGTTACCACAATCCCAAGTATTAAAATAGTTATTCTGTTAAATCTCAACTATCATAAATTAGAATTGTGAAAGCGAAAATAATTCAAAGCCATGCTCTAAGTACCGATTCGGGAATTGTTTAAATTATTACTTATCGCAAATTTAATTTATCACATTAGAATATTTTTGAGCCTTTGTTTGAGTGAGCTATTAAAAAAGTTTTTAAATTTCAATATCAAATTTGATTAAAACTAGTGGGCTGTGCTAACGCTCGCCAACCCCCGAAAATTGCTACGCAATCTTATATGGTTTGCTTCCCAAACCAAGGTTGCTTTGCTCACTACTAACTTAGGTACATTGCAAATGCACAAAATTCTAAGAATTCAAAACAATCATTCAAATCCATNTTATTTTATACATGTGCTAATTTCTATACTACTATTAATGTCTGATAATTTCTTTTTATGTTGTTTAATACCTTACTATGTGTTGTATATTGTGGGTAAGTTTCATAAAATTCCATGTGTAATTTCTTGAGTTATCGCGATTTTTGTGAATTTTCCTTAATTTATGATAACCAGTGTATTATTTTTCTGTATCACACTACCTACTACTTTATTTATTAAACAAAAGTAGCACATCAAACTACAAAAAAAAAGTAGCAACTATAGTAATTTCACTACCTGTAGTACACAAATGGTCTAAAAACTGTTGTATTAATTACGTATCCACTTAATAAATTACGAAGCAACAAACACCAGACGTAATCCCCTGCCGTTCTTGGCTGTGAATGATAAAGAAACAATGTAAGTTCTCTATAGAAATACTCTTCAATTCTTATGTCAAGATTTCCCTAATGTTTTCTAACTTTCACAAACCTAGTCCATTCAGAAAATTTTCCAGTCCCGGTTTTAGGAAAAAGTATACATGTGCTAAATTTAGAGATTAGGCTGTATGATTTATCTACACAATCACTGAAACTGAAAAATTTTGCAAAAGGAATAAACATGATTGGAGAATGATAACTTCAACGACAGAATAGAATAGAAGAACATTCTTTAAAAAAAAAACTTCGGACTTTATTTTACCAAAAATGATGAGAAATTATTGTTGCCGCAATCCCAAGTATTAAAATAGTTATTCTGTTAAATCTTAACTATCATAAGTTATAATTGTGAAAGCAAAAACAGTTTAAAGTCATGCTCTAAGTGCCAAATTCGGGAATAATCGTTTTCCACAGCAAATCGTCTTCATTACCATTTAAAGAATTTGAAATTCCCCATTTTTCAAAATATTTTTCCATAACAATTGAATACACATTTTACCACGTATCATTGGACATATGTTGTCTTCTATAGGAATAATAATCGACTTACCAATATACCAGAAATTTGCTATCTCGTAATCAAAAATAGAAGGTCGACTTATACATCGAGATGTAAGGTTGTGACTATTGTTTAAATTACTACTTATCGCACATTTAATTTATCACATTAGAATGTTTTTGAGCCTTCGTTTGAGTGAACTATTAAAAAAGTTCTTAAATTTCAATATCAAATTTCATTAGAATATTTGAAAATTTAATTGAAAATATATGCTAATGAATTCAATGCCCCATTTGAATTCATGCCCCATTGAATGCCCCATTTGAATTCATTCCTTGAAATGATTTCATGCAATTTCAATATTTTATACAAATTTATTTTTTAAAGTTTATAACAAGAAATTGTATAAAATGCCGCTTACTCTAATGGTGCTTATATAAATTGAAATTAATATCTACTTAGTGATAATGTTTTTTCGGAGGATTCAGTGAAAATTTTAATCGAATAAAAGTCTGAGAAATATCCCTATTCAGAGTCAACTCAACAGCTCTGCTACATATCATTTGCTCATTTTGAGATGAGAGCAAATCATACGAAAAATAAATAGTCCTATTATTTAGTCGTCACAGTTGGTACGAAGACATATGTGTACTTCGTACCAAGTGTGACGACACATGTGATGAAGTTAAATTTCATTTGCGATATGAAGAAATATAACAAATTATTTAAATTCTTTTAAAAA